AAAGCTACCTTCAGAAAAGTCATGTCCATTCCTGTAAGAAGAGGACACTAGTTGCATGCAAGCCTTATTTGTCTAGAGATCTTAAGACTTCGCATTTATTTATTTAATGTTATCCTTGGGTGTATACATAGGGATAGAATAGCATCATTTTAGACCTAATAATTGCAATTATGTTTGCTAGCCTGTACGTTCTGAAAAGCAGTGAGTAGATTAAGGCACGGAAGAGGATCTGTATTTCCATATTTTTTCCTAATAGTGTTTTGCATGGGTATAGATATTGAATTGTAATAGCAATATACAAAAGTACTAGTAGTTTGACCCACTATTAGGGGCCAATTAGCTTAAAACTTTAACCCCATTTGTTGAAATGACTGTACTTAGCCAAACACTTTACATGTGGTTCATTTGTGGCTCTGGCTACATCACAGAAGAGGCAAAGGAGTAATTGTCTCTAAGAAGTCCCATATGGAATAGCAAAGGTTTTGCCACTAACATTTATTAGCAGATTAATTCCTTAGAAGTAGAAATATTATATAGTTGCTTTTTAGAATTACTAACCTTTATTATGCTTGGTCCCAAAAGGAGGATTCATAATTACAGTGTCAAAAGTTTTTGACATTGTGGTAGCTAAAGAACATACGTTGCATTGAATCATGTCAATATTTGTGAGCTCAAACTCTTCAGCATTTTTACTAAATATTTCCAAGGCATCTGCATCTATGTCGAACCCCACACACAACCTGGAAAATGGAAAACAATCTTTAAAAAACCCACAATATTTTTAATTTCAAAAGGCAGTACATACATTTCTTTTCAAAATGCACCATTTCTAAACAGTCATGTTTGTTCCTGCTGCATAGTTCTGAGAAATCCCTAAAGCAGAATATGCTCTACTATCTTCTGTAGGAGTTAGTAATTTACTTATAAAATACATTTTTTTATTAGTACAGTGATGTGAGTGGTGAAGCATTTTCCTACGAACGTCTTTAACAGGACAAACCTAATATATTTAATAACAAGATGCTGAATAATAGTTTAGAGCAGCAATGGGCAACCTCAACTAGTGAATGGGCCGCATGAGTAGCCCTCTTTCATCTCAGTGGGTGGCAAGAGTGTTATAACCAAGATGGTCTCCTGGGATGGAATAATTTTTAACTTCATTTGTGTACCTAGAATTTGTGAGATGTGCCTATTGAACCACAGTAGTGCTTTGATTAGATGCAGAGGGAGGGCATGGCTATCTGTTCATATTGGGTGCAATCAACACAGATCTCACTGTGTGTGCTGGTTTAGTAATATCAGTGGTAACACTATTGAACAGAAAACAGCAGAATCTGATAACCTTGCACAGGGTAGGGATGTTTACATGGTTACAATAACAATTTTGATGCTACAAATGTTAATGATTACACATTGGCTCCCCAGAAGTGGGGCCAGTAGCCAGTGTGCTCCCAGCTGCTGACCCTAAAGCTGGCTGCTGCCCTATGCTGCAAAATTTCATACAGAGTCTAATGCAGGTTAGTAGTGCCCACCAGGAGCCAACTTTTATGCCAGCTCCTGGCATGTACTGGCTCCCACCTACTACCCTGCTCCCGGGAAGCCAGCTGCTGCCTCTAAGGGGGCATCACTTGTTTCAACTATTACTCTTACAGCCCTAGCATGTAGGCAATGGTAAACAATGTCTTGTGGGCTACACATAGAACCTACTGGGCTGCATATGGCCCACTGCTGCTTTAGAGGAAAAGTATTTACTAAATTATGAACAAGCTTTCTCTAAATAATTCTCTATTTAAAATAAAGAGCATTTGCCCCTATCATTTGTTACTATTTGCATGTTCATACAGCAAATCTGTATCTATTAAAATGTGTGATCATGCACTTAATTTTAGTTACCTACATTAAGTTCAGTCTAGCATTGTTCATATTCCAATCTTCTCACTTAGTTCTATACAGTACTGAGAGAGAAACAAAATCTTGGATGTTAAACACCTACCCTGCTCCTAACATTACGCTTCCAATGCTGAGTACACCACAACCACATCCTAGATCTGCAACCACTTTGTTTTCAATGTCATCAAACGTGTTGTGAATTGTATGAAGCATACATGCTGAAAAATATGAGATTACAGCATAAGCATAGACAGTTGACAGGTCAATATTCTTTTCTTTCAGCATATTCAAAATTAAGCAGACACTTGCAAGCTATGAAGATCATAATAGGAATCATAAGAACATAAGACCGGCCGTACTGGGTCAGACCAAAGGTCCATCTAGCCCAGTATCCTGTCTACCGACAGTGGCCAGCACCAGGTACCCCAGAGAGGGTGGACCGAAGACAATGATCAAGCGATTTGTCTCCTGCCATCCCTCTCCAGCCTCTGACAAACAGAGGCCAAGGACACCATTTTATCCCCTGGCTAATAGCCTTTTATGGACCTAACCTCCATGAAATTATCTAGCTTCTCTTTAAACTCTATTATAGTCCTAGCCTTCACAGCCTCCTCTGGCAAGGAGTTCCACAGGTTGACTACACGCTGTGTGAAGAAGAACTTTCTTTTATTAGTTTTAAACCTGCTACCCAGACAGCAAGGACCTCTACAAAAGAGATCTCTCCTCTTCCTATGCTCTATACAGGCAGTCCCCAGGTTACGTTCAAGATAGGGACTGTAGGTTTGTTCTTAAGTTGAATCTGTATGTAAGT